GCATTATTCATATTAATGTCTGTATCGAAAGATTGCACGCTGATATTTAGGAAAGAACAATTTTTGTTTTAAGCTTTACATTTTAAGATACCCCTATGCGGTGGAAAATCATAGCTTTTTAATAAAATTTACACCATTAGACGCGGAAATCATTTAGGAAAAAAATGATATATAATTCAAGAATATTAAGTGTAAATATAATACCGTCCGTGTGATTATCACGGCACTACCCCAAACCGTGTGATAATTACGACCCTGCGTAATAATCACACGCGTGGTAATATTACCACGCGTGTGATAATTACGCGACACCCCACCTATTATCATTGAGTTACATTGAAAATGGCGGCACCTTACTAGACATGACACTGAAAATTTCACTGATTGGTATTGACTATAGCCGGGCAAGCCAAAGCCCGGGATTGCAAAGCGGTCCCGGTCTTTGACCGAAATGTTGAGATTTGTTCCGTTATCGAAATAAACCGCCTATTATCATTAAGTTACATTGTAAATGGCGGCGCCTTACTATAACGTTTCATGTACGTTAAAGGCTCAGTTTTTCAATTTAAACTTTTAACTAGTATCAATTCAAGTTGGATGGCTAAATTGGGAAAAGGTCAAATTGCTTAAATTGAAACAATTAATCAGTTATTGAAATAATTTTCCATTGTGGTAGCTTGAGTGTTTTCTACAGAATCGTTATGATTAAGCATGATTTCCAGTTTAACTGCAAATTGTGTATAAATTAATGTTTGTAAATTATATAAGATATTGATCTAGATTACTGTCCTATTATTAATTAATTATTTCCATTAAATGGGGGTCTTAAATTTCTAGTCCTGTAGAATTATAAGTTTCCGTATTGTTTCTTAATATAACTAACGACAAATGTGAAACACGGGAGGTAAATCTGTTGTCATAAACAGTCTTTACATGAAAAAGTTACCTCGCTTTGTTTCTGACAAAACGAATTGTTTGCGTACAATATGACAATTTTAGTGAGGTTACACTCGAAATATGAGTTTTTATTTTATTGAAATCATATTGTGATGAATTTCATGATGATCTATTTCATCATCTATCCAAATGCAAGTAACTTACGGAACATCGGTGGTTCTAATAAGGTCCCCTCTTGTCCCTGAAATAAAGCACAGAGGGGCACCCGAGGTATCATCCACCAATAGAGCTGGAAAGACATTATGTGACGTAATGTTACTTGAAACACAAAATAAAAAAAAATACTTCACTATTGAATTTGTTCAAGCAAGTTCCTAAAAATAATGTGGACCATCAAGTCTGGCAAAACGTTATACATGTACTGCTAGATGTTGGGATTTGATATCAAAACCTCCTCATATACTTAAAGAAGAGTTCCTTATTCAAAACAGGACAAGTTCATCCATAAATTTGTATTTCGTGCGCAGGAACACATTTACGCAGAAGAAATCGTACTTTAAGAGAAAAAATCAAGCAAACAGACGCCGACGTGGTACGTTGTTTAGCATGCATGGATAAGAATGTTGTAAAAACAGCTTACTGTAATGACAGCCCCGAAAGTTTCATTATCAAATATCAAATACAACTAGCACGTGAAGGCATGCCGGAACATGGTGCCTTTTGCGAAAAACAAAAATTAAAGAATCAGACGTATACTTTTATGCAATAATAGTGTTAATGCACCTTTTATCAAACATTTACATCTTCAGAAGCCCCCGTACTCATTTAATCATTCACCCTGCGATTGTTATGTTACGTTATGTAAAATATATTTGACCGTATAAGTTATGAAAACATAACAAGTTTATATAATACATAAATAATATTTCTAATACACACATTATTTAAAAAATAATACTAGTAGTAACATGTAATACATTCAACGAAAATTAAATGTGTATATCACGAAACGATTATCAAACAAGTATTGTCACTTTACATTTTTAAGAGTTCGCCATTTATCAAGTTCGAGTTATTTACAAATTTTAAGCATTTTGACAGCAACATTAAAATTCACAATTTAGTTTAATTTTCGATCACGCTTTCACGTAAAATATGAATTTCTTTTGGTTGAACAACTATTTGCTGACATAGCCGGATCTCTTCCCAAGCACTGGTGATAATGTGAACAAGACACCGTCCTAAAATAGATGACATACAATTATGCTCATTTTTTGCATTCATTTATCATTTTTAATAAAAGAAAGCATAGCACAAATGTTTGTTATAAAATCTACGCTTTTTTAAATTAATCATCCAATTTAATTTGTTTATTAAGGAAAAAAAGTCTTTAAGTACCAGTATTATTAGAAACAAATCATTGACTATTTATGTACAAACTGGATTAACCTTAAGACAAATATTTCTATCGACAGACTGACAAAATATATAAATATATGGAACATTATTGATAATTACCCGCGACTTTAATCTGCTAACGAATCCGTAATATATGACTGTATATATTCTAAACTTATAAAATTATTGATGTACTTTTGTCTTTTTGACATATCTATAACTAAATATGTATTTGTACAGATTGTTAACATGAATTCTTCTTTTTACTTCTGGATAATGTTTCTCTTTTTATTGTTGAATACAATACATAATTACATACAATTCCTTATATCGTTTCTGTAAATTTTTTTAAATGAAAATAAAGGTACTTTAAATTCATAAAAAATAGGCCAATTTTTTTTTAGAAAAAATGCACATGTTAAGAGAAGAAGTGGGAAAAAATATTATCCACTCTAAATTTGTTCTTGAAATTTTGACGAAGGTTAGCTTCATGAAAATAAGAAGAAAACATGTTTCGCTTCATTGTAAATTATCTGCCCTTGAGTTTAACGAAAAGGCCAAATTCAAGGGTAGATAACTCGAAAATTAGAACGGTAACCCCACATTTTTTCCGTTTAAAACGTTTCTGTTATCATAACTATTCTAATAACATGCCAAGTTAAAAGAAATTCTATAGAACAGTTTTAATTTTGCCTATATGTCTACATGAAATCTCCGGAAAACGTCTTTAAGAAATATAGGACAATTCATTTGTTTTCATCACAATGGACAGTCTTTTTTATTTAACTACATGTATATGTATATTCTTCTTAATTCTTGTTTTTGTTCTACAGTTGTAATTATTCACCTTGACTAATCCTGGCAAACTGCTCCAGAACGTAACATTTGGTACCATTTCTTTACCTCGAGCTTTTCTACCAACTGCAAGAAACACTGTGCCACCGACGAAATATATGAACAAAAAGGCGAAAAATCTGAGACAAAAAAATATATGCAATGTATGAAAATATGTAAGTGTGAGTCCAAGTACATGGATAGCATTGTTAAACTAACGTTGAATTAACATACAATGTCAAATCGTATTAAGATGTATGCGCTGCATAATAAATGTAATTTCATCAAAATTATATTATTCTCCAATTCGGTAGCTTACTTTCAATGTGTTACAACCATTTTTCTTCTTTTTTTTTATTGCATACAATTTTATAAACATGGAACATCTATTGCCACACGCCTCTCATGTTATGTAATATTTTTTCTATTTATGTAAAACAATTCATGTAATATTTTAAACATAAATTTAGAAATCTTCAGAATAGTGAAACATATTGTGAAGTTTGTAACTATGTCAAACTCGTGACATACGAGTATATTCCTTTCAAATTTTATATAAACTATTAAATGAATTGTAAGCAATATGTACGATGTGTACTATGTACAGTACAGTTACGTGTCTTTCAAAATTTTAACAATCTATGCCACCTTTATATATACATGAGTGAAGGAAAGTAATATGTTGTATTAAACAACGCATGCTGAAATAATGTTATAGAAACTGGAGGGTTTCTTTCAAACACGAAACTGTGTTTGAAACTATAATACGCACACTTCATAACATTCTTTGATTAATGCATTATATATTCATATATATGACAATTTCGGTTTTACTTACATAATAAGAACTACGGCACCTCCTCCTATTCCCCCAGAACTGCTTCCAGGAGTGCAGTTTATGGGACCATCCTCATTGCATCCATTCGGGCATGCGCAAACAGTTGTTAATGTCAACGCCTAGAGAACAAATTAAACGTTCTTTTATACAATGTTACTGCGATTTTAAATCTTTAGAATATATAAATACAGGAATTCTTTGTTGGTCATTATTCCTTATACACTCTATAGAAGTTTGATAATTATCTGATTATGTTTACAGGAAAAATCGATATAAAAACTTATTCAGCATTGAAATTGTTCATTGTTAATATCAAAGACACATTATGCCTCAGAAACAATTTTTTTTTTACTCTTTAGAAAGGTCCAACATGCATTTTATAATGTTAAAATAATGGGATTAGAGCTACATGCTTGTTATCCGAAAAAAGTAGCGATAAATGTGAAATAATTTGTCATTAAAGTAGCAAGTTGTAAACAAAGTAGTATTTTGACTTTCATACAAAAAAACTGATGAAAAAGTAATTGGCCAATGAGAAACCTTGTGCATACAAAAATGTATAAAAGTATACCAAAATTAAAAAGCTTTTGGGAAATACGAAAAAACCAACTTTTTTTGTGGCATAATGGGCCTTTAGAAGATTCAACGAATGTCCACTTTAAGTTGATATCTAAACTTTTTTAAGTTAAAAATCTTTAAAAAGTCCATCTTTCAGTCTGGACAAATCATTCATCATTTTAGAGAAAATTTTAAAACTATATACAACATAAACAACGATACAATGCAGATTATGATCTTGGTATGTTGTGGTCGCACTGATAGCAGTAGGCAGAGCTAAACATGTCCTCTTTATAGCAATAACTTGTAAAAGTGAAAACATGTAAACAGCATTCCGTAGAATAGCATACACACTTATTTTATATTTTAAGCTGATAACATTCATTTCAAAGGAATATGTAATAGCAGAAGCCACTGAAGGTGAGTACATAAAATTATTTGTCCCTCAACGCTCTATGTTCGCATCAGGTCAGCGACTTTGGATTCTTTCATATGAGGAAGCTATCAAGCTAGCTTATGGAAGGTCAGTTTAGATGTTTGTGCCTGAGTAATGCTATAATAGTGATTCCACTTGAAACCAAAACCAGTTTAAATACCGATTTAGCAATAACTTACATATTGATTCAGACCTTGATTTCCTTCAGCAGTTAGTGATGGTTGACATGCATGCTGGTCACATTTTAGCTTCACCTGAGTTATACTACAAGAAGACATTTGATATCAGCATAACGCAGAGATAGTCTTTTTCATAAGGCCAAACTCCTCACAGAGATTATCTCTATTGGCAGATTGTAATTTATACTGATAAGGGGGGATTACTTTGTAGGAGAATGGGATTTTTAAACGTAGTATTTTCAAATATCAGAACATGTTCCCCTTTTATAAAAGATGAATGTTACAAACGGCAAAATTAGTTTTAAAAATACAAGCATCACCCCGTGTTTACTTATTAGACTACTAAAACTATACGGAACGGTAACAAAATGTAACAATATTCCTGATTTACAAAGAACCACCCTGTTCTGGGAAAATATGAAAAAGTAACAGTACAAATACAAAATTAATCCGATCATAATAACGATCAATTTAGGATCAAAATCAATATTTGTATCAACGATAAAATGAATACATCTCGTAAAGTGACAATAAATCGTAAATAATAATTGTCACAAACATGCTATGTTAAGTCCATTTTTATCAAGCTGAAATTGGAAAAAAAGGAGAAAAAAAAATCGGAAAATATTTAAGTTTTTAATTTCGATTAATGTGGCATTATGCTCATCCAAGGACATAGTGTGAGCTAGAGAGATATATACTTTTTTTTCCTGAATAAGTGTGAATGACAGTGACCACATAAAACCTGTCTCTGTCAAAAATGGACTTTAAAATAGATATACTAATGTGACAGCTATATTTTTTGGATGTAAATGCCCAGGAGTGAACTTGAAATTGTGAATTAATTTTGGAATTAACTGTGAGAAGCAGACATTGTTTATAACGATAAGTATACATTATATACATAATATCATATTTCACCTGTAAAAAATACCTGTGCAATATTTGGATGAGCGGCGCTCACTAACACTAAATAATGGCAAGCGGCTTAAATGGACACAATAATGCCTCGCCAAAGGCAACTCCGTCTTCTATTGTCGAGGGGCGATGGTCGTGCACAAATCTATCACAATACACACATTTAGACTTAATTAAGCATAACGGACCCGGAAACTGCTGAACAAAATTGTTTAAATGAGTTTGAGTTTAACGATATAACAAACGCTCAAGTGACGCTTCAGCCTAAGTTTTTGGCATTTAACCATACAGAGCATAAACAACAAGCCGCTGTTGAGGATAATACTTCAAACTATAGCTACGATATCCTTAATGAGTTTCACAATTTAAGATCCTTATATCGTGAGACACCGAAAGATATGTTTTACCACAGGTCTTAAGGAACTATTCCTCTAGTGAGCCTGATTTAGAAAGAGCTTGAATCCAATACTTTACTTTGAGGTAAAAAAAAGCATGAGAGTGACAACTTTCCATTTGGTTTACAAGTCAAATCGAAGCGGCGAGTGTACGTTCGGAACGGTCATCCGGTCGTTTACAAATAAACTTTCGCAGATATTTACAACATTATAGCAGTGGCCGACGGGGAGGATTATACTTTCCTGAAAGACATGATAAGTACCTCGAAACAGCGCAGCTCATCTACAGTGACATCAAAACATGATTATGACAGACACGCATCGAAAGTAGATTCATGCAGTATAAAGAAATCATGCAATTGTGCAAATGAAATATTTTTACTGAAAGATCAAGTATCTTCCTTACAAGCCGGATTTCTTTTTTGAAAGAAAACCTTGTCGCTAGTGATCGACTAAGATCAGGTCAAATGGACTATGTGAAAGCTAACATGAAGCAAATTAAACTTGATATTCTTGAGTGCGGACAAAGTATACGTAAAGGTATTCGTAAAGTTTGATTCTACAACTATGCCCAATAGCAGCTCAAAAGAATTTGAGGAACAATTACAAGCTCTAGATGATCGTTTATACGGATTGAAAGCTTTTATTGACTCAAATCAGCTAGTGTCAGTTCAGAAAATTAATGTCGCTCTTCCGGTAGGAAATGTTAATGTTCCTGATCATGAGAAAAACAGTTCTGGGACTAATTGAGACAAAAATATGAAGTAAACAGAACGTCTCCTGTCCGCGACGACATGAATGATGTCAACAGTTTAACTTCACAAGGCAACATGCTTCGAAATGTAAACGATAGATAACCCACGTGGCCCAAAGAAATTTCAATAATTATGTTTATTGGAATTTACCTGCAGCGTTTTATTTCTAAAAACAGTAGGGCAGTCTTGTATTTCAGGCAGATATCAACTTTTGCTAAATCACCATTATTACAGTCAATCTTTTGACAGTTATAGTAAATTCAACTCCACTTGCCAGTGAAAAAAATGAGAATATTGGCACTAAAATGGACACATGACCTGGATATAAAAATGATTTAAGCTACTACATTCTTTATCTGAATATTTCTTTTTAAAAAGAGTTATTGCATAATATGAATAATTATTAATTATTATTATATTATGATCTTTACAAAACGAGCTACAAGCATTATTGTATAATTTGAGCTGCGTCACAACAAAACCAACATAGTGCGTTTGCGACCAGCATGGATCCTGATCAGACTGCGCGGACGCGCAGGCTGGTCTGGATCCATGCTGTTCGCTATCAGTTTCTCTACTTGTAATAGAGTTGGTAGGCCCTGATCAGACTGCGCGGATGCGCAGGCTGGTCTGGATCTATGCTGGTCGCAAACGCACTATGTTGGTTTTGTCGTGACACGGCTCATTTGAAATGTTAAGGAAAAGGGCATATTTGAAAACTTACGTGAGAAGACCAGAGCCTGAGGTATAACCTAATTCTAAATCATCATTATCCTCGGAGTAAGCAAATTTGGCGCTCTGTGCATCACCGATAGATTCTGTCTGACCAACAGACGTTATACACGCCTATAATAATCAAAGTACTTAAAGTACTGACTGAATATGATGTGCATTTTTACACAATTGTAAATAAATAAAAAAACAGATTTAAGTTATTAGCTCTCACTTGAAGAAACGTTTCCTTAGGGGAGAACTAAACTTTTGTGTCACAAAATATCAAACAAGAGCTGGAGCTGTCGGTAGGACAGCAACGCTTGACTATTCCTATTGTTTGATAGTAAAAGAGCCTTGATAATGTAAAAGTTTCGAAGTTAACCAAAGGGTCTTTAAATCCATGATACAGTTATAGGCCTTAGAGAGAATCCTATTATGCTCTCAAAAAAGAGTATAAAATTTCAACTTGTTTCAAAGCCAATAGATGTCAATAGAATATGAAAGTATCTGAGGTGGTTTGCAAACTTAAATGTAAATTCTAAGTTGAAAAAGGGGCATTATTCTACCAAATGCTTCATAGAGTTACCTCCTCCTGTCTACAGGTTGGAGTCATGATGGTGAGCAAATGTGCAAAGTTTTAAAACCGTATGTCTTTGAAAATATTAGAAGTATTACAAAAACCCCAAAATTCTAAGTCAAAAAGGAGTATAATTCTGTCAAAATGCTTGATATAGTTACCTCCTCCTGTCTACAGGTTGGGGCCATGATGATGAACAAGTGTGCAAAGTTTCAAAGCCATATGTCAATGACCTTTGAAAATATTTGAGGTATTACTAAAACTTTAACATAAGTGGTTACGCCGACGCCGACACTGACGCCGACGCTCTGGTGACCACAGTAGCTCTTCTTATTCTTATCGAATAGTCGAACTAAAAATGACATAACTTAACATACAATTCTATTTATAAATGTATAGATTAGTGATACATTTATATCACTCATTGTAATTGTAAATACAAGTTTGAACCATTAAAGATTAAATAATTGATAGCCATAATCTTTTAACATAGTTACAGTTGAGAAATGTTTTATAAATCAAAGTATTATGAATTTCTACAATCTAAGTGTCGGGCGACATATTTTATGCAAACTATCATACAATTTACTTTTAATATGACCATATCCCGAACCCGTTATCCATAGAGAAAGGGCTATATGTATATGTTGACATGTTAAGGTAATATCTGTAGAACGTATGTAAGTTCCTAATAACTTTTTAAACCCTTGATTTTAAAAAGTGGCAATTTATGGATTTGCATAGAAAAAATATACCTTATACCTGTGAGTTTGCTGCTTTTATAAAAATACAAAACCATCTTCTCAAAATAAAACACACCATTTTACAGGAAACATACACATGCAATACAAAGATATTCAAATTAAGATGCTGACGAGCTTCACTGTGGTTTATGGGCGTAAGTGGCCGAGTGGTAAAAATCGTAGATTTAAAAACACTTGTCCCTCACCATTGTGGGTTTGAAACCCGCCAGGGACATCGGTTTTTATCTCATAATCTGTGGTCGGTGGTTCTACTCAGGTGTCCGTTCGTGCCTCATATAATGCTACGTTCAGCAGTAAAGCTTGATAGTGTAACAGTGTTGCCCAACCAAATTAATCATGACCGTTAAAGACATATACATTGAAAACTAAAAGAGTATACATACCGCAGCTTGAGTACAACTACTGGTACCTTCTGTAAATGGATAACAAGGATTGTAGGAGTAGGTACTTCCATCTGAAGAACTTACGTCTTGAAAACTAACAAATAAATTAATATTTAAGATAACATGATAAAATGTGGTACACAGCAGATTTGATGACAGATGTTAAAATATCGGGATTGCGTATCAGGAACTTCATGTTTTGTTCTATGTCTGACAACTAATAAAAAATAATTAAGTCGACTATTTCACTCAACTCCCTAGTAGACCGTATAAAATTATGTGTTCAAATATCTCAAATCATTTTCAGCGTTTAAAAAAGTTTGTCCTATACAACGTTTTTTTATGCTAAGCAATATCAACAGTCTGATTTAAATTATAAATATTGTCATATGATTAACAGTGAATAACGGTCGAAGATTTTATTGTTTTTGTGAAATACCTTTACCCTCAATTAACATCAAAGACTTAACAGAGTACGATAAATATACAAATACATACAAATCAAATAATGAAATACAAGACTACCGTGGGGTCAGGTCAGAATTTCCTAAACTATTTAAAACAATCAAACTTCCGTCATCATCGAACGCGCACGAGCACTGGTCTCTCCCTAGGCAATCCTTAGCTAGAACACTTCCTGGAACCAGAAACAAAACACATGCATACAATATGCCTGCTGTGCTGAATAATTTCCCAGTACAAATCATATGAGTTTTAATGAATAAATCCATGTTTGGAAGTTACATTTATGCTGAATAAAGTAATCGAAAATGAGATGAAATTATCATTATGATTAAAACTTTCTACACGGAGATAGTATCATTATTATATATATCAGATATATCAATGTTTACTTTTGAGATAACTACATGTTCATATGACCGAGTAGTTGTTACAATGATAAAAGGACTTTTTGATTAACATCATTTATGTAATACATTGAAACCAGCTTTCGTACATGACCCAATTTTAGGACGCACGTTAATCCTTTTCCATTACAAAACCTTTTATGAATGGTTTGTTAAACTTTGGTTCAAAAAAGTGAAATAATTGTTTTAAAATACAGCGTGTTACGCTATCTTATTTACTTATTAACTTCAATTCACAACTAACTGCCCCATTTGTAATTATATATTGGAATTGCATCTACATTTGGCATGTATTAAAGGCTTGTCCTACATGTGCCTGTCCATAAAAGATTTATTAAAGGAATAAATCAACTTTGTCACTTTAAACAGACATATGCAAAAGATAATTAAGGAATATACTAAAAAGAAAATCGTAGATCGGTTGCGGGAGAACTGAATATTAGAATGATTTTCATTGGTCGTTTTAAAATTGCAAACTGAAATCCGGGAATTTCAATTCATTGACCATTCTAAAATTAGTATAATAATCAAAAGGATCTTTCTGAAACGTATACACGTCCAAATTATAAAATAATCTTAAGGAGTATCAGACACACTTTCTAGTTAATTTTCTCGGATACTTAAGATCTGTGAACTTCCTCCTTATTATTGTTTTACACTGCTTTAATCTTAATTCTCTGGTGAAAATCTTATATAACATAAGAATTGATCAAGTAATAAATGACATTCTAAAATAACGAGACGACCAATCGACCAATAACGTCCACGATTCCATAAAATCATGTGCATACCAAACACACCATGCAAGTAAAGGCAGTTTTACCTCGTCCCAGTATCTTTTTAAAAATACATCTTGTTTATGCTTTTCTTAACTTGATTTGAATGCACAGCGTTGCAACGCTTTTCAATTTTCGGTATTTTTTTCACAATCAGAATTTGTTTTCTGGAAAAAATGGAGTAAGCGAATTATTTGAAATTTCGCACAGAATATACCGATCTACACTTTCAAATTGAAACATTAATCTTGTAGAATTAAATATGTTTTGGTGAGAGATTAACACTTTTCTTTTACATACACCTTACTTTTATTAATTCATCCAATACGCATTTTCCTAACTGCATAAATTGGCTTCTTATTGCGAATAAAGCAAGGAGTTGGTATAAATGTTCGACGCTTTCGGTTAAGTAAGTAGGCGATAAGAGATCTCATTCAAAAATCTATTCATCATACAAAACGATTTGAGCGGGGAAAAAAAACGAAACTTCCTAATTAGATACTTGCGATATGATTTGTTATATTGAGAGTCTGACTCGAATAGTATTGTAATGCTGATTACAAAACGTAAGGACTCCTTAATATGAGCGTATCAATAAAACTTAATTAATGTATTATCAATAAGCAAGAGTAAACAAATATTAAATAAATGAATAAATAAATAAATAAATAAATAAATAAAAATAAATGAATAAAAATAAATAAATAAATAAATAAATCACGATAAAATATTCATAAAATAAATGGAAATATGACAATAAAACGAGAGAAAACGACATTTATGAAACTAAGCCCACGATTAGAAAAAATGCACTCCCGGGAACTTAGCAGCAAGATTGTTGGAATAAGTCAAACAATAATTGTCTTCACCATTTGTGTCTAGACATTACTACGACCAGGAATTGTTTGTAACCCAAACACATTAATCAGGGAAAATCGTTTCAGCTTTATTACCAGTGTTTTGACATAGAGCCAATAAATTCGGCGAATTCGATGTCATATTTTCTATGATTTACCAGAAACATCATATGAATCATTCCAAGTGAGAGAACTTTGCACAATATTAAGGACGCAATACAGTATTGTAATAGATGTTCTGGAAAATGGAGGTCCTTCGAGGTTATGAAAAGAAAAAAAATGGAAAGCTCGACGGTTTCTCAAAAATATTTTTCATTTTAGTTAGCAGTGACTTTCAGATTCAAGCCTAGTTTATTTTTCCGATGCCATCAATGCATCTAGATCATTATTACATTTCTCATTACGGACATATTCAAAATTCATGTAATATGAACTACTTACCTTGCGTAATTATACCATGCTGGTTTGAGAAGTAGCAAAGAAAAGACCTAATGACGAAACATTGTCATAGATCTGGAACTCTACAGATTATTGCCTATAATTTTCCCTAGAAATGTAACCTATATAGGTCAAAGGCCTGCAAAATTATACACACTGTTCATAATTGACGATTGTTCCCGAAAGTACATATTAATATAATGTTTTTCCTTTCTCATTAATGTTATAGGAGCTAAGACCATTTCAATAGTAAACAATTGTTAATTTTTCCGGGAGTTTTTCCACTTTGTATTCAAAATGATTCATTTATGTGATCTAGATCTATATAGAGTTGCACAAGGGATTTAATGAATGCTTTTCATTTACAAGAGATTTATGTAAGACAGTTGTATTTTTTGTAGAATGCAAATTGTAAGACATCTCCTCCTCTTATAATTAAACGAACAGATAATTTGTTACTGTTACCCAAGCCGTTAGCCGAGTGTAACAGTATTTTAAGAGGGATGAAATTTAACTTTTACTCACCAACCCACGTGTTATCTTACTAGCACGAACAAATACCGTTATCATTTGAAAATTTCAACTAAATCTAATTGTAACAAAATTGAACCAAAAGTAACAATAACTCAACTATCCTTACCTTGCAAGTTGTAAGTGTACTTAAGAAGTTATTTTTCTTTTATTCTTAAAGCAAATGATATCTTCCAGTCATAAACATACAATAAGCTGTGTTTCATAATTTCATTTAGAATCAAAACACAAACGCATTTATACAGTTATGGTTTGTGAAATCATATCCAGAATATTCATGACATGGTTTTGACCATGTGCATTTACGATGATATCCTACATCTGTCTATCATATCCGATATATGTCATAGATTTAATTTATTTAAAAATCATTTGTCGCTGTTTTTTTTCCGTTTTGACACATATACATGTAACTATTTAAATTCAAAAACTTCCGCTGAAACCGGATGCTTACTTTTTGACTATTCAACATAAAGATATTTAAGACGCAAAAAGCACATTGTTACATGGTACTAACAACTTAATTTTCTGGGTGTCATAGTAAATTTCGTGGTATCCAAATGCAATGAATCCCTCTTCGTGGTGAAATTTGAAAAAAAGGCTGAAACGAAAAAACAAAATGGCGGCCATTTTCTTTAAAAAATAAAAATAAATAAATAAATAAAAAAAAGAAGACACGTGACCAGACTTTATACTGTTGGAAAGTACTGTTACCTAATAACAATACAAATTTTCTAGTCACGTAGTACACTTGCTTTAACAGTAAGAATAACTCCCAGTGGCCTATTGGAAATTAACATGACAATAAAGTGAGGGGAAATAATAAAAATTATCAGGGGTGAAAAAATCTTGAAAAGGTAAAATTCAACATATTCTATCTACCAACATACATGTACATGTATTATTTTTATTATTTGCTTTGGAACGGAAGACTAGGTGATTTGGTTTAAACAAATCTATTTTAGTTCGATTGTGTTGGAAGCTATAAGCTTATTGGAACACTCTCGAATCCGTTCCTGGGACCAACCAGTACTAAGCAATGAATGTAAAGTTTCTTGTTCAAGGAAACAACGGCTTGTCACTGACAGGGTTTTAACTCACGCGGTCAGCAATCCTTTTAGATTACTAGTCCGACGCGTTAACCACTCGGCCGAGCCGCCACAAGGTGATTTATTGCGGACAGCTGGCAAGAATAGTGTAAGGAATGTTTTATTGAAATTCTGTGTAAGTACTTAAAAGGTTACGATTAACTTCTCTAAGGTGTAAAAGAGATGAGCTAAACACTTACAAGAATTATCTTTTAAAAAGATACTCGGCTGTTGTTGTACCTTGTTGCTGTTGGTAAACAATATCAGTGCTTAGTAAATGATAAGCGGATGACCTGTCCAATTTCCGGGGTATTTTTTGTATGAACTTTCTTTTGCTATTGTCAACATTATTGTTCACAGTCGAATAAAGATAAACACTAGTTTATTATCCTGGGATGATAATTTGGTCTTAAAGAAACTTGGGATTGTCTATTATAGGATGCATGTTTGTATTACAGTTGTGTTTGTTTATATCATTTTCTTCTGATAATATACCCATATTGCAGTGCTATCTTTACATTTTATGTTATGTAATAGAAAGAGCATCGAAACACGAGGCTATCTGATTTGTACGAGGGGGCGTAACCCACGAGTATTAATCAGATTGCCGAGTGTTCTGATGTTCTTTCTATTTTGTATCATAGTCAAACATAAAAACACGTTCCCTGTTGTCACAATATGAAACCCCGGCAAAAAGGAACCAATGAACGAATATCTAATTGTTATATTTATGTCGCTTTTCCTTTCTCTGTCGTCACAATATGTAAACCCCAGCCAAAATGAGCCAATCAATAGGCATGCTCTGGAGTGCGGGTAACTAATACCTGCACTCCAGTTAACGCACTGTGCATGTATATGTATACGATTTAACTGGACACATTTTCAACAGAAAGGTCCCCAAACTATGATACAAGATTTATCATTCATCACATGTCGTGCTCTTCATTTATGTTATCTTTTATTATTCCGATAATGTATTAAAACGAATGTGTATTTTTGACATGTAAAGGAATTTATAGTCCATCTCGGAACAATATGATTGAAAATATGTCTGACAACTATATTTAATTTAAATATGTCCATTGATGTACAATTATAAACAAATCCGACTTAATGTCAACAGGGTGACATTTTGTACTTTCGCGATTTCTAAAACGATAATAATAAGTATAGAAATAATGTATTGTTTACTTTTATATCTTTGACTTTGCTTATTTTAGGCGGATATTTACTTGATATATTGGTAAACTTGAATTAAATTACTATTTGTTTAGATTTTTAGTTTCTTAGCGTAGGTTAAACCGAAATA